AAAGAAGACATTTGGCATTTGTTTTTTAGGGATTGGCTAGCTTCACTTAGCATAATCTGCTCTAATGCCATCCATTTCCCTGTAAATTCTATGATTTTGTCATTTTTTAATGCAGAGTAATACTCCATTGTGTATAAATGCCACATTTTTTTTATCCATTCGTCTATTGAAGGGCATCTAGGTTGGTTCCACAGTCTTGCTATTGTGAACTGTGCTGCTATGAACATCGATGTAGCAGTGTCCCTGTAGCATGCTCTTTTTAGGTCTTTAGGGAATAGACCAAGAAGGGGAATAGCTGGGTCAAATGGTGGCTCCATTCCCAGCTTTCCAAGAAATCTCCATACTGCTTTCCAAATTGGCTGCACCAATCTGCAGTCCCACCAGCAATGTACAAGTGTACCCTTTTCCCCACATCCTCGCCAGCACTTGTTGTTGTTTGACTTCCTAATGGCTGCCAATCTTACTGGAGTGAGATGGTATCTTAGGGTGGTTTTGATTTGCATTTCTCTGACAGCTAGAGATGTTGAGCATTTTTTCATGTACTTGTTGATTGACTGTATGTCCTCCTCTGAGAAGTGTCTGTTCAGGTCCTTGGCCCATTTGTTGATTGGGTTGTTTGTTCTCTTATTGTCTAATTTTTTGAGTTCTTTGTATACTCTGGATATTAGGGCTCTATCTGAAGTGTGAGGAGTAAAGATTTGTTCCCAGGATGTAGGCTCTCTATTTACCTCTCTTATTGTTTCTTTTGCTGAGAAAAAACTTTTTAGTTTGAGTAAGTCCCATTTGTTGATTCTAGTTATTAACTTTTGTGCTATGGGTGTCCTATTGAGGAATTTGGAGCCCGACCCCACAGTATGTACATCATAGACAACTTTTTCTTCTATCAGACGGCGCGTCTCTGATTTGATATCAAGCTCCTTGATCCATTTTGAATTAACTTTTGTGCATGGCGAGAGAAAGGGATTCAGTTTCATTTTGTTGCATATGGATTTCCAGTTTTCCCAGCACCATTTGTTGAAGATGCTATCCTTCCTCCATTGCATGCTTTTAGCCCCTTTATCAAATATAAGGTAGTTGTAGTTTTGTGGATTGGTTTCTGTGTCCTCTATTCTGTACCATTGGTCCACCCGCCTGTTTTGGTACCAGTACCATGCTGTTTTTGTTACTATTGCTCTGTAGTATAGTTTGAAGTCTGGTATCACTATACCGCCTGATTCACACTTCCTGCTTAGAGTTGTTTTTGCTATTCTGGGTCGTTTATTTTTCCATATGAATTTCATGATTGCTTTCTCTATTTCTACAAGAAATGCCGTTGGGATTTTGATTGGCATTGCATTAAACCTATAGAGAACTTTTGGTAATATCGCCATTTTGATGATGTTAGTTCTGCCTATCCATGAACAGGGTATATTTTTCCATCTTCTAAGATCTTCTTCTATTTCTCTCTTTAGGGTTCTGTAGTTTTCATTGTATAAGTCTTTCACCTCTTTTGTTAGGTTGATTCCCAAGTATTTTATTTTTTTTTAAGATATTGTGAATGGAGTGGTTGTCCTCATTTCCATTTCAGAGGATTTGTCGCTGATATACAGGAATGCCTTTGATTTATGCGTGTTGATTTTATATCCTGCCACTTTGCTGAATTCATTTATTAGCTCTAATAGTTTCTTTGTAGACCCTTTTGGGTCTGCTAGGTATAGAATCATGTCATCTGCAAATAGTGATAATTTAAGTTCTTCTTTTCCTATTTTTATGCCTTTAATTTCTTTCGTCTGTCTAATTGCTCTGGCCAGTTTTTCGAGAACTATGTTGAACAGAAGTGGTGAGAGAGGGCATCCCTGTCTTGTTCCAGATTTTAGAGGGAATGCCTTCAATTTTTCTCCATTCAGAATGATGCTAGCCTGAGGCTTAGCATAGATTGCTTTTACAATATTGAGGTATGTTCCTGTTATCCCTAGTTTTTCTAGAGTTTTGAACATAAAGGGATGCTGTACTTTGTCGAATGCTTTTTCTGCATCTATCGAGATGATCATATGGTTCTTATTTTTAAGTCTATTGATGTGGTGAATAACATTTATTGATTTCCGTATATTGAACCAGCCTTGCATCCCAGGGATGAATCCTACTTGATCATGGTGCACAATTTTTTTGATATGTTTTTGTATCCGATTCGCCAGAATTTTATTGAGGATTTTTGCATCTAGGTTCATTAGAGATATTGGTCTGTAGTTTTCTATCTTTGAAGTGTCTTTGTCTGGTTTAGGTATCAGGGTGATGTTGGCCTCATAGAATGAATTTGGAAGTTCTCCCTCTTTTTCTATTTCCCGAAGTAGCTTGAAAAGTATTGGTATTAGTTCCTCTTTAAAGGTTTTGTAAAACTCTGCTGTATACCCATCCGGTCCTGGGCTTTTCTTAGTTGGTAGTCTTTTGATGGTTTCTTCTATTTCCTCAATTGATATTGGTCTGTTTAGGTTGTCTATATCCTCCTGACTCAATCTGGGCAGATCATATGACTTAAGAAATTTATCGATGCCTTCACTATCTTCTAATTTATTGGAGTATAAGGATTCAAAATAATTTTTGATTATCTTCTGTATTTCTGAAGTGTCTGTTGTGATATTGCCTTTTTCATCCCGTATGCTAGTAATTTGAGTTCTCTCTCCTCTTCTCTTTGCTAGCATGGCTAAGGGTCTGTCGATTTTGTTTATTTTTTCAAAGAACCAACTTTTAGTTTTGTCAAGTTTTTCAATTGTTTCTTTTGTTTCGATTTCATTAATTTCAGCTCTGATTTTAATTATTTCTTGCCTTCTACTTCTTTTGCTGTTGTTTTGCTCTTCTTTTTCTAGGATTTTGAGATGAAGTATGAGATCATTTATTTGTTGGTTTTTTCTTTTTTTAAGGAATGAACTCCAAGCAATGAATTTTCCTCTTAGAACTGCTTTCAATGTGTCCCATAGATTCCGATATGTTGTGTCAGTGTTTTCATTAATCTCTAAGAATTTTTTAATTTCCTCCTTGATGTCTTCTATAACCCATTGATCATTCAGTAACCTATTGTTCATTCTCCAAGTGATGTATTCTTTTTCCTTCCTTCTTTTATCGTTGATTTCCAGTTCCATTATGATCAGATAGGATGCATGGTATTATCTCTACTACTTTGTATTGTCCAAGAGTTTCCCTGTGACATAATATATGATCTATTTTTGAGAAGGATCCATGTGCTGCTGAGAAAAAAGTGTAACTGCTTGATGTTGGGTGGTATATTCTATATATGTCAATTAAGTCTAGGTTATTAATTGTGTTATTGAGTTCTATAGTTTCCTTATTCAACTTTTGTTTGGAAGATCTGTCCAGTGGCGAGAGAGGTGTGTTGAAGTCTCCCATGATTATTGTATGGTGGTCTATTAGACTCTTGAACTTGAGAAGAGTTTGTTTGATGAACATAGCTGCACCATTGTTTGGGGCATATATATTTATGATTGTTATGTCTTGTTGGTGTATGGTTCCCTTAAGCAGTATGTAGTGTCCCTCTTTATCCCTTTTGATTAACTTTGGCTTGAAATCTATTTTATTTGATATGAGTATGGACACTCCTGCTTGTTTCCGAAGTCCATATGAGTGATATGATTTTTCCCAACCTTTCACCTTCAGCCTATGTATGTCTTTTCCTATCAAATGTGTCTCCTGTAGGCAGCATATTGTTGGGTCTTGTTTTGTGATCCATTGTACTAGCCTGTGTCTCTTGATTGGTGAGTTTAAGCCATTAACATTTAGGGTTATTATTGAGATATGGGTTGTTCTTCCAGCCAGCCATATTTGTTTATTTATGTTACTAAACATGGTTTGTTTTCCTCTTTGATTATTTTTCCCCCCTTTACTGTCCTACCTCCCACTGTTGGTTTTCATTGTTATTTTCCATTTCCTCTTCCTGTAATGTTTTGCCAAGGATGTTTAGAAGAGATGGTTTTCTAGCTGCACATTCTTTTAACTTTTGTTTATCGTGGAAGGTTTTAATTTCATCCTCCATCCTGAAGCTTAATTTCGCTGGATACACAATTCTTGGTTGGAACCCATTTTCTTTCAGTGTTTGAAATATGTTATTCCAGGATCTTCTAGCTTTCAGAGTCTGTGTTGAAAGATCAGCTGTTATCCTGATTGGCTTACCCCTAAATGTGATCTGCTTCCTTTCTCTTGTAGCTTTTAAAATTCTCTCCTTATTCTGTATGTTGGGCATCTTCATTATAATGTGTCTAGGTGTGGGTCTCTTATGATTTTGCACATTCGGCGTCCTGTAGGCTTCTAGGATTTGGGATTCTGTCTCATTCTTCAAGTCTGGGAAGTTTTCTCGTATTATTTCATTGAATAGATTGCTCATTCCTTTGGTTTGAAACTCTGTCCCTTCCTGTATCCCAATGACTCTTAAATTTGGTCTCTTGATGTTATCCCATATTTCTTGGATGTTCTGCTCATGGTTTCTTAACATTCTTGCTGAGCTGTCTATGTTCTTTTCAAGTTGAAATACTTTATCTTCATTGTCTGATGTTCTATCTTCTAAGTGTTCTACTCTGCTGGTAGTATTCTCAATTGAGTTTTTAAGTTGGTTTATTGCTTCCTGCATTTCTAGGATTTCTGTTTGTTTGTTTTTTATAACCTCTATCTCCCTGTATAGTTGATCTTTTGCTTCTTGGATTTGTTTATGTAATTCATTGTTGAAGTGATCTTTCATTGTCTGATTTTGCTGTCTGATGTCTTCCTTGAGACTCCAGATCATCTGAAGCATGTATATCCTGAATTCTTTATCTGACATTCCATCTGCTGCAGCTATTACCTCTTCTAACGTTGAGTTGACCTGCATTGCTTGTGGTCCTTTCTTTCCTTGTCTCTTCATACTGTTCACGTTCCTTTCTACTTGGTGAAACTGTTGTGCTATTGAATTTTCCCCCTATATATTTATATTGGTCTTGTATAGTTGCAAAGTTTCCCTCGCAGGCGCAGGCGGCGGCTCTGCCCCTCCTCCAATTGGGGCAATGTGCCTACCACGCCGGCAGGCCACTGGGCCTGCTCTGCCGGTCGGTAGCAGGTCCGCCTACCTTGCAAGCGCGGGCGGCGGCTCTGTCCCTCTGCGGGCCGCTAGGCTTGTTCTGTCGGTGGTCGCAGTTCTGCCTACTTTGCAGGCACAGGCAGCGGCACTGCCCCTCTGCAGGCCTCTGGGGCTGTTCTGCCAGTGGGTCGCAGGTCCGCCTACCTTGCAGGTGCGGGGGGCGGGGCGGCTCTACCCTTCCTCAGGCCACTGGGCCTGTTCTGTCTGTCGGTTGCAGGACTGGCCTGTTCTGATGGTGGTCACAGTTCTGTCTACCTTGCAGGCGCGGGGGTAGGGGGCGGCTCTGCCTCTCAGCAGGCCGCTGCTCCTCTTCTGCCGGTGGGTTGCAGGCCCGCCTACCTTGCAGGAGTGATTGGAAGCTCTGTCCCGCCGCGGGCCACTGGGCCTTTTCTGTCAGTGGTCACAGTTCCGCCTACCTGGCAGGCGCGGGGGGTGGGGGGCGGCTCTGCCCCTCAGCAGGCCGCTGGGCCTGTAAACCCAGGGAATATTAATAATAAGCATGAAAATCTTGCATGGAAAATATCATCAATTTTTCATGTAAGTTCAGATATGTGTGAATTGAATTTTGTAGCGGGTCTTCGCAATTTAAAGATATTTTAAATGCATATGGAAAAAGATTAGAAAAGAATACCAAAAAGATAGTTCTCCTAGAATGAAGTGATTTCGGTTAGTTTTTCCCACAGAGTTCTTTACAAGTTTTATGTACTATTGCTTTTTATTTTTACAATGAAAATATTTCTTGTTCTTTAAAAGATAGTGTAAATGTGGAAGAAAGTTCTTGATTGAGTCCAAATATCTGTCTAATGGATAAATTTTCAATAATTATATGTCATCCACAGATTTCCTAGGAATGTAAAACAACAAAAAAATATCTACTCCTGTGGGAGTACTATGTGGAAAAAGTGACGATTTCCCTTAGTGTTAAAACATACACTACTGTATACTACAGTATAATAAAATCCCTTCATTTTTCCACATTTATTACTGAATAGTAAGAGGAATACTTTTTAACACAAATAGTAACAGCTTGTTCATCATCTCTTTCCATATTTGTTATGGCAATACTTTATTTATTTGCGGAATTAAAATACTTAGTAGAACAAGATCTATTTAATTATACCTATATTTTTAAGGATCCCAATATAATGGTTAGATTCATAACAACACCTGCTTGGAAATATTTTTAAGAGTTATCTTAAATTAGTATATGCACATGAAATTAGTAAATCTAAACTTACAAATCCAGAATTATTTGTTAATTTACTTGAGGCTCTTTTATAGCTTAATTATTTAAAAGTATAAAATGTTCACAGGTTTAAAGTTGTTTTAGTGCAATTATTCCTTTTATTTTAAATGAAAAACTAAACTAAAAAAAACTATTATGAACTACTTCAATAACCTTATTTCTTAATAGAAAAACTCTTTATCTTAATTCACTATTTGATTTTAATTAATTTATTTCAGTGAGGTATAGACTTCACATCAAAGTACTACAAAATATTACTACAGTATATAAAATATGTTATATATTATATATACATAATATACATAATTACCAGTTGGGAATTTAATTCATTAATATTTGGCTTAAAAACTATAATATGGGTGTCAGAGAAATTACCTAATTCATGATTTTTTAAAATATTTTATTTTTTAGTTGTAGTTGGACACATTACCTTTATTTAATTTATTTATATGTGATGCTGTGGATCGAACCCAGGGCCTTGCATATGCTAGGTGAATGCTCTACCACTGAGTCACAACCCCAGCCCCACCTAATTCATGATTTATCTAATTTATCTGTTCTACAAAAATTCTTCAATTGTGAGGATTGTGACCTCTTATTCAGAAGCTCTGATTGACAGTTGACTACAAATAAATGCTCTATGACAAAATTTGCCTTTATCCTCTTAAGCTCTTTGGTATAAAAGTTTGTCACAGACGTCCTTCTAGTCCCAAAAAATAACCAGTTAAATTTACCTCAAGTTTAGCATCCAGTTCAGCATCAGATGCCACCACATGCTCATCTTCCTTTTTTCCTGTTGCTTTAATGAAGACCTGTTTGGTTTTCCAGTATTTTTTTTGCATTCTGCTGACTACCGACTGGGTATCTTCTGATCTGGGTTGTCCAAAAGAATCCATGGAGTAACTAAAATAAATAGACTAAAATTAGTGGGTTTTTAAAAAATATTTTTATAGTGGATGGACACAACACCTTTTTATTATGTTTATGTAGTGCTAAGGATCTAACTCAGTACCTCACACATGCTAGGTGAGCGCTCTACCAACTGAGCTATAACCTCATTCCAAATTTTGTTTGTTTGTTTGGTACTGGGGATTGAACTTAGAGGCACCTAACCATTGAGCAATATCCCCAGACCTTTTTATTTTTTATTTAGAGACAAGCTCTTGCTAAGCTGCTCAAACTTGATCCTCCTGCCTCAGCCTCCTGAGCCACTCAGATTACAGGCATACACCACTGCACCCAACAAAACCAAATTTTTTTTAAAAAAACTTCTCAATAAACTATTTTGTCAATTTAATCTAATTGACAAACTGAAAAAGATTATTAAATAGAATATAATGCTCACAAATATGGTAATGCTTTCTTTGTATGGTTTCAATTGGTTATAATTACAGCTTGATAAAAGAACAGGCAAAAAGATTAGTGACACATTAATTTTGGTTGGGAAATAAAGGTGATAAAACTTATGATTTTATAATAATTCTAGAAATAATTATATTCATTTCACTAATCTTATTAATAGAAACTTATTAGCATCTAAATTTTGCTTTTCTAATAATACTGCAAAATGAAGAAACTTGTGTACATGCCTTTATTTATTACTATTATTTCCTCAGTGAAACTTTCTGTAGTTTTAACTACTATGTTATAACTATAGTTTAATACATATTCTCAGATATGCCCTGCCTAAAAGATCACTCCAAGAAATACTCTAATGTCCTGTAAGCCAACAAAAATAAAAGCCTTAGATATAGAGAGGTGGTATGTTATAAAAGGAACAGAAATGGATATCACAAACCATCAACATAAAAATCAGATGCCTAAGTAGTTATTCTTAACATAGCATGATTATACATATAAGGAAATGCAATTGTGAAAAATTTTCTTTAGAAAATGTAAAAAAAGGACTAATAACAGTTTGACTCTAAAGCCTATTTATTCCAATAAACTGTGGGAATAGAAACAAAAGGGAGATTTGTGACTCACTCATCACTTCCAGGAGTATCAACAGATCTATTGTATTCCGTGTGTGGGTAAAGAAGTAGCGTTTAATTTTCTTTTTATTTTTAAGTACTTAATACTTAAATAAAAATAGGATGTCTAATTTTTAAATTACTAGGGGGCAAAACAAAAGAGCAAGAAAAACTTCAGCAAAAAAGCAAAAGTAGAAAAAACAGGAGTAAAGAAACATAATAAACAGTGTAAATCAGGGGGCTGGAAATACAAACAATATTATTTAAAATGATAACTGCAAATTTCCCTTTAAATACATAGTCTAAAATTTAAAAAATCCTATCATATGCTATTTGAGATCCACCTAAAATTAAATGATAGAGAAGGAATAAAAATAGATGTAGATTAAGATATACCAAATAAAACAAAGAAAATTAAACTAGCCATATTAATATCAGACAAACTAGATTTCAGTTAAAAGCATAAAACAGCACAAAAATGATCTGTAAGTCCACAGGTGGCAGCTTTTCCACACACCTCCAGGTATTCTCCTTTGGCTGTCCTGCTAGGTTCCTGGTTAGTATAGATTGGTAACCGTTTAATTGCTGATCCTTATATGTTATCCTAGATAACTTGGCTGGACATAATCTGAGAAAAGAGAAAGAATTCAATCTTGGGTACATAGGAGGCTTGGGGTTGATATAAGTATTATATTGTTCTGATATAGCGTCTTGAGGGAAACTTGCATTTTGTCCTCTCTCATCCAGTTTCTTTCTGCTTTCAGTTTCCTCTCCAGATTTTATAAATTTTTGGCATGAGGATCAGCCCAATTGTATGACAAACTGCTGATCTCTTCTACTAAGCTGACTGTAGGCTTAAGCCCAATCAGTTAGGAAGACAAAATGCTAGGGAGTGGGCTGGAGTTGTGGCTCAGTGGTGGAGTGCTTGCCTAGCATGCGTGAGGCACTGATTTCGATTCTTAGTACCACATATAAATAAATAAAGGTCCATCAACAACTAAAAAAAAAAAAATTTTTTTTTTAAATCCATGTTGATGTAGTTCAAACAATATATTCCTGTCCTCTCCATTCTCTCATCTCCTTTTTGAGTGAGAACAAGTAAGTACTTTGTCTGATTGGAAGTTTGAGAATAATAAACTTGACTCTTCCTTTATTATCTGAAAGCTATGGTACTTCTAAGAGTACGCACTTCCTGGCAAGGACATGAGAGTGGCTGGGAGGGTAAATCTGCAGAAGCTGATAATTGTATATTTGTGGTTTTTAAACTAAGACCACTGTTAAATCTACTTGCCACTAGGGGTGGGTTAGGCAGAAATCAAAGTCCTACTGAGTTAAGATATCAGATAATAGAATTTAAGGCTGGCAGAACTACCTAAGTTTAAGAGTTTTATCCTTGTGAAATATGATATATCAAGAACTATGTAATGTTTTGAACAACCAACAATAAAAATTTTTTAAAAAAAGAGTTTTATCCTGGAGAAGAGAAAGACAATGAGGAAGTGATCCCCAAAAATCTGTATACAAAGTCTTCCTAGATTTTTGCTGATCACTAAATCAGTAAGTGGTAGGAGAAATACCAGGAGTCCTGACAAAAAGCCAGGGGCTGAAAGATGAAATAGTTAAGTGACAATTTTAGCTGCTCTAACCACAGAGGAGACAGAGTTTGAGAGCTTGAGTTCAGCCAATTTAACTTCCTTCTAAAAACAACTTTTTTTTCAGAGAAACAAAATCTCTGCCAAACACATCATTCAAAATGCTAAGGAGCCAATAAAAAACCACTGGACACACTAGTATGAAAAATGTGATCTGGGTATGGTACGCCTGTAATCCCAGCAATTTGGGAAGCTGAGGCAGGAGGATCAAAAGTTCAAAGCCAGTCTGAGCAGATTAGTGAGGCATTTAGCAACTCAGTCAGACCCTGTATCTAAATAAATATTAAAAATGGCTGGCGATGTGCTCAGTGGTTAAGCACCCTGGGTTCAATCCCTAGTGCCCTGCCCCCCCCTCAAAAAATGTGATCCCATGGCTAGGAGAAAAACAGCAGTCAATAAAAACAGACTGCAGGGCTGGAGCTGTTGCTTAGTGGTACAGTGCTTACATTTGTGAGGCACTGGGTTCGATCCTCAGCACCACATAAAATAAATACATAAATATGTTGTGTCCACCTACAACTAAAAAAAAAAAAAAAGAAAAAAAACAGACCCCCAAGCCCCAAAGACTTCCCAGATATTGCAATTACCAAACATTTAAAAGCAGATATTATAATGTATGCAAAGACTTAAGATAGGATGTGTACACAAAAACAGAAAATATTAAAAGTAAGTGATGGTCTCCACTTAAAAGTTATTAATAACTATAATTAATAATTGAATGGATAGGCTTAGGAACAACAGGAAGATAGCAGAAGGAGTGAAGTTGAAGAAGAGAGAGATGGTGAGGCAGAAGGAGAAAGATAGAATGGGGCAGGAAAACATTCAAGGAAATAAAACATCCCAAAATATATGAATGACTTTAACTTAGAGATGCAATGAGCTATGCAAACCCCATGCAAGGTAATACAAGAAAATTACAAATAGGTCCCTCATATACAAAATGTTTAAATCCAAAAATTAAAAAAAAAAAAAAAACAAAGACAGCAAAGGAAGTCAGTCTTGAAAACAGAAAAAAATTAGCATATTATACACAGGGAAAGAAAATTACAAACGGAACGTGAGTTCTTGACAAAAACAACAAAGTTAAACTAAATAGGACATATTTAAGGTATTAGAAACAAGAAACATCTGCTAACTCATAATTCTACATCTGTTGAAACAGGCTTTAAAAATAAAAGCAAGGGGTCTGGGTTGTGGCTCAGTGGTAGAGCACTTGCCTCACACGTGCAAGACCCTGGGATTCATCCTCAGCACCATATAAAAATAAATAAGTGAAATAAAAGTATTGTGTCCAACTACAACTAAAAATAAATATTAAAAAAAATAAATACATAAAATCAAGGTACCCTTTTCTTGGGATACCTGCCCCTTCGGAAGCTCTGCTTTCTATTCCTCTAATAAGTCCTATTACCTTGCTCTTAAAGTAAATAAATAAAAATTTAAAAATAAATGCAAAGTAAAAACATTTTCAGATACCAAACAATTCCTTGTTTCTAATACCTTAAATATGTCCTATTTAGTCTAACTTTGTTATTTTGTCTTTTAATAAAGAGATAAAGACCTAAGAGAAATCATGGTCAGAGAACTTTCAGAAATGCTAATAGTCGGGCTAGTTGTGATTTAGCTCAGAGAGAGAGCATTTGCCCAGCGTGCATGAGGTCCTGGGTATGATTCCCTACACTGCAAAGAAAAGAAATGCTAACAATCTATCATGAGTGAATAAATAAGGAAAATGTAGTATATGGAATACTGCTCATCCATAAAAAAGAAATTGTCTTTTGTGACAACATGAACAAACCTGGAGGACATTATGGTAGGTGAAATAAGGCAGGCACAGGATGACAAAACAGCACGGTAGCAACTTCCAAGCTTTCCGATTCTGTCATCATGCTGGACTTTTGCTCTGACCTTTATGCCTCCCCTTTATTAAGACCCTTGTAACGATCCAGAAGAATGTCCCCATCTCAAGATCCTTAATCAATCATACAGGCAAAGTCTCTCTTTCCACAGAAGGTGACAGTTTCACAGATTTCAGAAACTAGGACAGGAACATCTTTGGAGGACCATTATTCTGGCTACTACTCTCTATTAATTTTCACCCTTATTTAGCAAAAGGACAGACTCGAGTAAATTCCTCAGGAAAGGTAGCTGGAAGAAAAAATGCATAAGTCCTTGTATGCCTGAAAATGGCTTTATTCTTCTCTTCTATTTTAGAACTGGAGAAAGGTCTTTTTCCATTGTGTTTCTAACATTGGTTTCATGATGGAAATT